GAAAGACCAACAGGTATTTTTACACTCATTGGAAAACAATTTTAATGATATATTTAAAGACCATAATTGAGCAAATGTTTACACACACATATTTTAAAATCCAATATTTTCCATACATTACAACCACATACACTTTGTTCCATCACCTGCCAAGTGATCAAACTTTGTTTAAATAAGGCCCAGCACAATCCTCTATTGACTGTTACATATTCTGAACTACAGTGTCTGTCGCCAAAGTTTCTCTATTTTTCAATGACGGGTTTTATCAGCTTCCTTATTCTTTAGTCAGGTGTTTAGTAATAATGTGCAGAAAACAAAGGCCTTTTTTATTGCTGAAGATATCTAGCAGCCTTTGTATCCCAACCATCAGCGGTATCGTCAGTGCATTGTATCCAGGGAGCTAAATGTGCAAGACCCGGGGTCACAGCAGCTGAATACACCCCGCTCAGAAAACAGAGACAATGAATTGCAAATGACACTCCAGACAAAAAAGCAGAGGGAGAAGGAAGGAGCAAAAGAAACCTCATTCACTGCAAACACCACAAAAGGACTGTGCCTGGACTGAATTGGCTTTCTGTACACACTGATCCTGTATGACTGTGTGTGGTATGAAACGAAACCTTCCACAGAAAGCAAGAAAAGACAGAATCTGGAGTCCTGGGTGGTTCTTGTTGCATATTAAAGCTGAACTCAAGGCAGATAAAAAAGGCAAAACTAATGCAGCCTTTTAAACAATAATACATCATCATTAAATGTATTTTCCAAATGCAAGCAGTGTAGGTACTTTTGGCTTAGTATCGGTCTCCGCTATACAGTCCATGTACAGCAGAGCTAAAACTAGGACTGGTAGAAGCAGTTCAAGGAGCCAATCAGCTTTGAGAAACTGTTTATGTGCCAAAAAAGAACAAGCTAATAAGAAAAGAGAGCAGAGTGACATAGTTAAAGCAAAACTAAACTCTCTCAATCACTCAATCGGCAAGCATTACAGTGTTACTAAACCCACAACAGTAAAATCAGTCTGTATATGCAGTAAAGCATGCTTGTTATACTCACTGTGGAACCTAACGGGTTAATCCTCTGCATTGTGTAAAAATGTTTGATACTTTCTTCTCTGTTCCTCCCCTTTTTCACGTGACCACCCTCTTATCTCCAGACTAAACTGTAGGCATGCACATGCTCAGTTTAGTGTGTATTGCTAGAGAGGTTTTTTTTTTCCTCGGGAGAGTGCATGTGATCATCACAGGGCCAATCAGCACTGTCCAGACAGAGGTCAGGGGATTTGCATCCTCCTAAAGAAAGAAAACTCCTCCTACAAGCTTTAGCTAGTGTTGGGCTGGACACTGATAGAAGTCACAAGACTGCTCTAACTGCTGATGAGAAAAGGTATTTAGCAGTTTAGAGTGAAGGAAATAAGTATTTTATCCCCTGCTGATTTTGAATGTTTGCCCACTCACAAAGAAATGATCAGTCTAAAAATCAAATGGTAGGTGTATTGTAACAATGAGAGACAGAATAGCAACCAAAAATTCAAAAGAAATGCATGTCTAACAAATTATGCACTGATTTGCATGCTCCTGAGGGAAATAAGTATTTGATCCCATATCATTCAGAAGGATTTCTGGCAATCTCTTAAAGGGAGTGCTGCTAATCTCATTTTGCTACCTGTATAAAAGACACCTGTCCACAGGAGCAATCAAACAATCAGATTCCAAACTCTCCACCATGGCAAAGACCTAAGTGCTGTCCAAGGATGTCAGGGACAAGATTGTAGACCTACACAAGGCTGGACTGAGCTACAAAACTATAACCAAGCAGCTTGGTGAGAATGTGACAACAGTTGGTACAATCATTCGCGAATGGAATAAACACAGAACAACTGTCATTCTTCCTAGGTCTGTGCACCATGCAAGATCTCACCTCGTGGAGTGTCAATGATCATGAGTACAGTGAGGAATCATCCCAGAACTACACGTGAGGATCTTGTCAATGATTTCCAGGCAGCTGGGACCACGGTCACCAAGAAAACAATTGGTAACACACTATGCCGACAAGGATTGAAATCCTGTAGTGCCCGCAAGGTCACTCTGCTCAAGAAAGCACATGTCCAGGCCCATCTGAAGTTTGCCACTGAATATCTGAATGATGCAGAGGAGGACTGGTTGAATGTGTTGTGGTCAGATAAGACCAAAATCGAGCTCTTTGGCATCAACTCAACTGGCCGTGTTGGGAGGAGAAGGAATGCTGCCTATGACCCCAAGAACACCATCCCAACCGTCAAACATGGTGGTGGAAACATTCTGCTTTGGGGGTGTTTTTCTGCTAAGGGGACAGGACAACTGCACCGCATCAAAGGGACGATGGACGGGGCAATGTACCGTCAAATTGTGGGTGAGAACCTTCTTCCCTCAGCCAGGGCATTGAAAATGGGTCGTGGATGGGTGTTCCAGCATGACAATGACCCAAACCACATGGCCAAGGCAACAAAGGAGTGGCTCAAGAAGAAGCACATTAAGATCCTGGAGTGGCCTAGCCAGTCTCCAGACCTTAATCCGACTGAAAATCTGTGGAAGGAGCTGAAAGTTCGAGTTGCCAAATATGTCAGCCACCAAACCTTAATGACTTGGAGAGGATCTGCCAAGAGGAGTGGGACAAAATCCCTCCTTAGATGTGTGCAAACCTGGTGGCCAACTACAGGAAACCTCAGACCTCTGTGATTGACAACAAGGGATTTACCACCAAGTACTAAGTCATGTTTTGTGAAGGGGATCAAATACTTATTTCCCTCATGAACATGCAAATCAGTGCATAATTTGTTAGACATGCATTTCTTTTGAATTTTTTGTTGTTATTCTGTCTCTCAGTGTTACAATACACCTACCATTTGATTTTTAGACTGATCATTTCTTTGTGAGTGGGCAAACATTCAAAATCAGCAGTGGATCAAATACTTATTTCCTTCACTGTTTATGTACTAAAATAATTGCACTTCCATGTTCTGTGTACTGTGGGAGACCAGATATAGTAGATGCAGGGTCCTGGGTTTAGTAACACTAACTATTCTTCGTAGTTATGCTTTTAGTCTTTGTAAACAGATAGGAAGATGTATTATTTATTTATTTTTTACATTTCTTAATTTGCTTCCTGGCCTTGGCCAAAATGCTGAAACACATCCCCAGTGTCTTCAGGAGGGGAGGAGTGACTTTCCCACCCAAGCACACCCTCCTGCCTGCATGCCTGAGCCAAGAGTAGATGATTCCAAGTAAATGCATCATGAATCATCTGCCCTTACTTAAGAAGACTGTAGCTAGAAATGCTAGATGGTGTTTTTCAGAGTGTTTTCTCATCAAAATAAAGCACAGAGACATGGATTGATGGGGGAGTTTGCTTTGAATATTAAAAGTGAATTAAATAGCATTTTCAGTATGTGGTGTTCAGACACAGTTTAGTTCCACTTTAAGTTTATTAGTCTGCTGCTTCTCTTTTCACTGTCCAGTCACAGGATGAAGGGAGACACAAGAACGGTAGGTACTACTAAAATGCAGCAGGAAAAATCAGGTCTCCAGCCCTGCCAGACAAAGCTGTGCATATCTCGGGATTGGATGTACAGACATGCAAATCCTTTGTTGGACCAACAGGAAGGCGAAGGCAGGGTCAGATGCATCTTTTTTTGGCCTTGTTCACACGGGCGTACCCAAGTGTATACCTGTGCGAGGGCTGGGTTTCCTCACACAGGGATGCACAGGTGTTCCTTGTATCCCCGTGTAGGCAATCCCATTGAGATCAATTGAGACACAGTGGCTGCATGAACACCCTGACTAAGTTCAGGGACCCAAACCCACACAGTTGTTACATTGGGAGCAGCGGCTCTGCCCGTGCAACCGCTGCGTCCCAACTGATATGAACGGGACTGCTTGCACATGAATGAACAGAACACCTATGCATCCCCATGTGGGCAAATACAGCCCTCACATGTACGCTTGATAATGCCTGTGTGAACCAGATCTTATAGGCAAAAGTCGAGGTTTGCCTAAATTTCCAAATCTACTGATCCTTTTAAATGCTGATGTCACTTATTCACATACTCAGTTTGAATAGACATGATTTGTAACCATTGTGCAAGTCCTGTCCTAGAGTGACAATATGTACTCATTGTACTGTATCAATGGAAGAGCAGTGTTGTCACCCTAGGACAGAAATGTTTTACGACTGCAGAACATCTCCCTCTCTCCTTGACAAAGGTGGAGGCATTCTGATTCCACAGAGAAGAACTAGTAAGAGCTCAAAACACGGTTTAGGATTTCAGAGCACAGGAATTTACCAACTTACTGGATTTGTGGCAGAATCAACAGTTTTTTTTCCTGTTTTTTCCTGTACTGAACAGGAATAACAAAACATTTTTAATGGTATATTAAATAGACTAAAATGAAGGAAATAACACGCATCGATCGAGTTTGCATACACTTTAAGGTGTGTAAACCTGACTATAAATGAACAGAGATTTGTTTGAAATGGTCAGTTTTCAGTACTTAGTTCAATTTTCTAATCATTAGTGGGGTCAAATCAACATTCCTTATCAACAGTGATGAGAAAATTCAAAGAAGCAGGATGGAAATTTTTTTCTTGATTGAATGAATTTCAAACAGTGTTTGTGGTTTCATTCAGAAGTGACATTCAATCCAAAATTGAATTTTAAAAGCAAAAACAATTTTGAAGTACTTTCAAATGACATTTGTCCAGTCATTAAATGTACAAAAACAAATCCTATGAATACTCACATAAAAGCTCCTTTGAAAATCTACTAGTGTATGACCAGGCTTTTTAGATTAATATGCTTCTGCACCAACACTGCCAGTGACTCTGCCAGAGAAGCAAAACTAAGAGGAACCAAAATAACTCTTACAGGAAGAAGAAGGTCAAAAGATCCTTTTTTACTTATGGTCTACTTTACCTAGCATAACTAGAAATATAGAGAAGAGATTATTACCAAATATTCTCCTTACCCATAGCCTGCTTCCCCATAGCACACTGATAGGTATTTCTTGGGGACTGGTTATGATGAGGATATGGAATAAGCCCAGCACAAACCCCAAGCAAGGTAAATGGCTCAATCTCCAAATGTGTTGTTTGTCTTGAAAAAAGGAGAAAAGAGAATATCATGAATTAATGAAGAACTCTGGGATAGGCAAAAAAAGAAAAAAAAAATCACTCATCAGTACATCACTCTGTACAAAACACTATATAGTTAATACATTTGTGAAATTCCTTACCATTGAAGAGAAAAATCTAACTGAATTTTCAGGAGTCATCTCTGCAATTCAAAAGATAACAGTATCTGCTCTGCCAAGGAGGAGGTGCAACAGAAGGGATTACATTATATCTCCTCTCTGCAGTAAAAGGAAACTACAGTTTCCATCAACCTCTAGGAATTGCATTGAATGTGGGCGGGTACCCTAGGCCTGTACATGTTGAATGTGTCTGAGTCCTGGTATGCTCATCACTGCAAGTGGGGCTGAATGACATCACTGCTTCCTGGAGAAAGAACTACAGATGGGGTATGCCAAGGCTGGCGGAATAGGAGACAGAGCAGCCACCGGTCTGACAAATCAAAAACCAAACACAACTAATGGTTTGATTTGAAAATTAATAGTCTATTTTAGAGCAACTACTGAGTGAACCAGAAGATGGATGACATATTCAATGAAGGTAGGAATTCAGCAACAAGGACATGTAAAGAAGTTTGCCCGGAGTTCTGCTTTAACATATAAAAGTGAAACACACCACATGCAAAAGTGCTACTGAGCATCTCCTTATACATTTTTGAGGAAGTAGGCAATTAAAATTACAGTTAACATATACAACAGTCCTTGCCCCCTCTTTAAACTGATGATCATGGTGGATGGGTTTTTTTCAGAGGTATCTGACAGATGGTGAGGAGGTGGTCATCAGTATTAACCTTGTAAATGTCACACCACCACACTGCAGTCACATGCACTGAATGAGGTTGCGGCGCCATTCAATTAAGTACAGTGCATCCAGAAAGTATTCACAGCGCTTAACTTTTGCCACATTTTGTTATGTTACAGCCTTATTTCAAAATGGATTAAATGGAAAAATTGCCCAAAAATAGGTGTGCCAAGCTTGTAGCATCATACTCAAAACGACTTGAGGCTGTAATTGGTGCTAAAAGTGCTTCAACAAAGTACTGAGCAAAGTCTGTGAATACATTTGTTTTTTTTTTGTTTTTTTTAATAAATTGCAAAAATTTCAAAACAAACGTCTTTCACATTGTCATTATGGGGTATTGTTTGTAGAATGTTGAGGGAAAAAATGAGTATAATCCATTTTGGAAGAAGGCTGCAACATAAAAAATTGTGGCAAAAGTTAAGCGCTGTGAATACTGTCTGGATGCACTGTAGGTAGTGTTCAGTAGTGGCACTGCCCGCCAAACACAACAGGGTGATCATTGTTGCCACAGCCATGAAGCTCAGCATCATGAACATGGCACGTGTACAAACCTGTCCAACTGCCTTTGATAAATACGGGGGGGTGGGGCATAAAAAGATGTGGCTCAACTGCCTATTTACTGACCCCTGTCCCCCGATCACAAGTGTGCACAACCTCTTAGGATTACGTACTACATGACTGAAATGTGTTTAAAGAGTTATGTAAACTTAAAATACAAAAATGTATTTATTTACTACAGGTGCTTATTTAGCACTGTCAATTTACACAGCGCTTTACTTATAATGTGATATTTTGCAGCTTACCAGCCCTCAGATGTGGTGGCTACATTAGTTTTTTTTTTCCCCTTTACTTTTGCCGGGTAATTCTGCCAGTAAAACTTGCTGTCCTAGGATGACAACCCTCATTCACCCTACTGTATCTGGACAGCTGAAACAGGATAGGACTACAGGACTCTGCCCTCCCTTCTGTTATTGTCAACAAGAGGTGCTGTGCTGCAACATGTCACATGTTACTTCCTGAATATGGGTGTAACATGTTCCAAAAGGAGAACCTATCCGGTACATCACATGTGATTCGCACCGCAGTCCTGTGCAAATCACATGCGATTTGTGTGCAGTGCGATTGGAGCCATAATTTTGTATGGCCGCAATCGCACCAGCACCATAAATGTGCAGGACCCTTTTTTGGGTCCGCACTAGAATTGGTTCGCATGGGTATTCACACCTATGTGATCCAATTCTGAACATCGCACCGTGTTTTGTGGACCGATATCGGGGTGTTGTTAACATTTACACCCGCATTGGTTCGCATGAACGGGAGCGCGATTCTGATACGGTGAGGAATTTGCACAGAAAACGCTGCAAATTTTGCACCGCATCAGTGTGAACCCAGCCTCAAAGGCTAATTCTCAGAAAACATATACTGTTATAGTGCTGTGCTGCAACTTGAAGGCAATAATGTATGAATGAAGACTATGCAATTAGGGCCTCATTGCTCTCATTACTATTGAGGACTTGGTGGGCAACAGATATGAGAACTTAAAAGTGCAGGGTGAAGCAACAGGTTCACTTTAACGTAGACCTCCCCAACAGCATATTACCCTTCCTTTCATTATAACCGCTGCTTAATTCAGTCTCTGAGAGTAAAATGAAAGCCTTGGGTATGCTAAGAATTGTTGTAGTCACCACAGCTTATGCACGGCTATGAACTCCCCACTGATTCATGCACTCTTCCATACCTAGAAGAAACAGGTACTTGCTTTGGCTTCCTGTACTGAATGGATCAGTGGAAGAGTAAAGGATGGAGGGGTTAACTCAAAGCTATTGCTTTGTTCTGAATGGTTTCTAGAATGCTTGAGAAACAGCAGGTGGAAAAGGGACAAACATTGATCACATTTTCACTCTCACCACTGTACCTCTGTTCCATTCAAAACAAAGTCTTCAGTGTTGGGGTCCCCTTTCAGTAAGCTACATGGCCAAACGTTTGTGAACACCTGACTATCACATGTACACCATATGGCCGAATGCATATGGACATCTCTGCAAATTATTGAGAACAAGTGTTTCCAAAGAGATGTACGGCTACAACCTGAAAGCAGTTTCGAAAAGGCCATTATCTGTTTCAGCATGACTGTGCCCCACAAAGCCAACTCCATAAAGACATGGTCTGAGGAGTCTGAAGTGATGAGCTTGGGCATGTTTGGACTAGGATCCAAATCTACGTGTGTGAGCCCTCCAGAAGGCTGCAATCTGTACTGTGACAATCATCTGCAGATGGGGCATTGCCTGCCCTGCAGCCACATATGTACAAGGGACATCTATACGTGTGGCTGTGGGGCAGAGAATACCCCATCACCAAATGATTGGCCTGTACATGTGACAGTGCACTGGTGGGCTCGCACACATGGGTTCAGATCCTAGTTCGAACACGCCTAAGATGATCACTGGTGTGGAGGAACTCAAGAGGCCTGCACAGAGTCTTGACTTCCAACCTACAGAACACATTTGGGATGAATTCAAATGCCAGTCTTGAGTCAGGTCTTCTCGTTCATCATCAGTACCTAAACCGAAAAATGCATCTGCCATGAATGACCACAGATACACTTCAAAGTCTTGTGGAAAAACTTACCAGAAGGATGAAGGCTGTTTATAGCAGCAAAGGGGGTGTCCATGTTCATGTTAATACCTATGGCTTTGGAATGGGATATTCAACAAGATTATATAGGTGTGACAGTCAGGCGTCCACAAATGTTTAACCAGATAGGAAACTGGACGACGTCATTCCAACATGGAGGTTCACCCTTTCTATGTTATTCATAAGCTGGCCATACACTGCTGAATGTTGAAGAAATGATGGCAGGCACAGCTGCAATTCACATAGTGTAAAGACCCGCTGACACTGCTCCGTCTGACAGAAATCAATGTTCAAGTGACATATGGCAAAAAAAGCATATTACACAATTGTTGACCAAAAAGCAATAGCATCCAATCAGATGCAGTCACTATGCAGGTGTTCTGACAGCCAGTAAAGCCAGCTGTAAGAGTACAATAGTCCGGCAGGTGGGATTCGTCCATCTGCACTGTTAGCACGGGTAATGAAAGACCAAAAAAAATCTATAAGCGTATGGCCAGCATTAGACAATCAAAATCTGACTTGACATAGTGCACGAATATTGTATTAAGTTGACTTATCTATGTGACTATAAATGCTGGGGTATGCTAATTAGAGCTGAGGAAACTATTTGGATGAGTAGCAAAATATCTACGACATTACAGAACGAGTCTACCTGAGTTGTGACTAACTACTACTTGGTGTATAGAGCAGGCATGATGTAAGCCAGTATCCACAAGACTTTGTCAGTTACGTAGCCCTGTTACGTAGGTCAAACACTTAAGATCAAGATGCTGATCAGAGTGCAATATATGCAGCATACATGGCTATTTATTTAATGCTTTGTAAACAGCTCTATTGCCACAGGAGACCATAACGGTAGAAACGCTTGACATGTAATTTCAATTACTGAGTACTCTTCATTGCCTGGCAGGAATATCACTAGCCTGGACAGAAGACATGAGGCCAAGCAAGTTTTTTGGGAAAGGTAAGATCTGCATATCATTTCAGGTTACACCTTGAAAATCCTCTAATCTCAATGAAAGCCTAACAGGGTGTGGGGGTGCAGGGATCTCAGCAGATGTAACAATTTTTTTGTATGCGATAAAAAGTGAGTTTAGGTTTAAAGGCTTTAGAACACTGTAACTTACTTGGTAATAGTGTGCTCGTAGAGGGCTACGTAACAGTCATTCTCTTCATTAACATCCAAATACTCCACCAGACCCTCATGAAGAAAGTCCTCAAAACTCCTGAGAATGGACAAAATAATCAGTTAGCTCTGCCAAGTACATGAAGTAAAAAACAATTACTATAAGCTCTCCTGACTCGTACTCAAGAACCCACTACGATAATTGGGGGGCGGGGGCACCCTCCCAGACTTTCATTCATACTATCCGGCGGCACAGCTCTCCCATTTGTTTCACCTAACTAAATCGGAAACTGACCGTTTCCAGGCTCTGGTATTTGGGCAGCCCGATCATACCTTGTTTTCCCCCCTACAAATGGTGTTGCGGGACAGCGGGCAACCCGGGGCCCATGCACCTCGTGACACAATAGCTCATTACCACAAACGTATCTGGGAGCTGGCTCTTCGTCGCGTGAACGCCCCCTCTTATCACTCACATGTTCCGCTTTGGCTCAACCCTAGGCTGCCTAAACTCCTCATTATCCCTAACCCTGATGATTCCTAGGGGAATCATATACAGTATATCCAACAGGTGGTTGCGCCCACTGGGTCCAAGCTGTTCCAAACCTTAAAAGAGAAATTTGACCTCCCTAACCATATGCTATTTAAATATTTACAGCTCTGCCATGCCTTGAGGGCCAAATTTCCAGAGCCAGCTCCTCTACTTAACCCCTAACATTGATAGAGATGGTGCTTGGGTCCGAACCTACCAGGCTGATTTCGGTTTTATACACTGCTCTCTGTACTCCCAAAATAACCAACATAGCGGAGGGGGCCAAATCCCGATGGGAACCAGATATTGGGCCATTGGAGACGGAGATCTGGGTTGAGATATTGGAGGGCACCAAGTTGGCTTCACCGGAGACTCCCTGACAAACGTACTCAGCTCTATATAGTACATCAAGCATATCTTACCCCACTTCAGGTTTCTAGATTTCATCCCGAGCAGAGCCCTCTTTGCCTCAGGGACCCTGGCACCTTTTTCCACCTCATATGATCCTGTCCAGTTATTCAGATGTACTGGGAGCAAATCATCAAGTTCCTCCATGATCACATGGGCTCACCCCTACAATAAGATCCCAGAGTGTGTCTTCTTGGTCTTCTCTCAGACCTGCCTGAGGACAAATTCCTCATTACACTCTTATGTGAATTCCTATTTAGGGCCCGAAAACTAGTTGCATGCCACTGGATACAGACAACTGTCCTTACCCTCTAGGTATGGTTGATTGAAGTTAACTCAACTTTTCCGTATAAGAAACTTCTCTATATCCACAGAGGATGCCCCACGAAAAACAACAAAATATGGGATAGATGGCTTGCTTCGCCTTCCACCTATGCAACGTGATGTAAAGGCGGTATCCGTGGTTGGGATTCCCCCGCCCCACCCTCCTCACTGAATTTTGTACTACTCTTCCCCCAGACATTTATATTAGTGCACTTTGCTATGATGTTTGATCTATGTTATGTTTGATGTCTAACCATTTTTTGTCATTCCACATGTTTTCTGGAAATGCTCCTTGTTACAAAACATGTAATTCCCTAATGCCGCAGCATGTGTTATTGATGTACCACGTTCTTTCCCTTTTTTTTTTTGTTCCTGCTGTTCATACCAATAAAATTCTTTTATTGTAAAAAAAAAAAAAAAAAACCCCAACTACTATGCTTAAAAGAAGATGGTCATGCACGACCCATATATACCCCTATACTTTTCTCTCCCCCTTTATATCATGTCCCATCATTTGCTACTTCTTTTACTGATGTGGACTTCATCTCCCAAGAGCCCTTTCCCTACATAATGTACATTGGTAAGCTCTTCAAAGTGAAGGTAACAGAAATTTGTTGCTGGAAAATAATCACTTGACTGCATGTCAAATGAGCAATCTAACAGAGGAGAACTCAGGCAAGCTGACAACGCCGCTTGGGATTTCAGAGCAGCAGAGTCTGCGTTGTCAGTACACAACAGATAATTAGGAGCTTACTGTATTTGTGGCAGTATTAAGTATGTATTGCAGAAATGTACTGCATATATTTTTAAATTTTGCCCAGACACGCATTTTAAATCTAACACCAAGCCAAAGCTAGTCTTATTCATAAGAAGCCAGAGGCACTTGTTATATTGTTATCACTGCTAAATAGACTGGCTGGCCCTCACAACTACTTAAAGCCTCGTACACACAATCAGAAAATCGGACGAAAAGTAAAATTTTCTAAGTGATCGTCCGATGATTTGATCATTGGTACACAAGAAAATTTTTCTTATATGATATCACACAATTTGGTTTAATTAGTATAGTCTTTGTCAAACTACAATACAAAAAAATAAAATACAATACATTCATCGCTTCCACAACTCTATTGTGTCTTAAGAACATTTTTGTAAATTGAGTAATCACTTCATTTTCGATATGGAGACTAGCGTGCAAAAAAAAAAAAAAAAGGACAATCATTTGTCCAATATTCTCATAATGTGTACAAGGCTTAAAAGTTAGCTTTCTTAAAAGAATCAAGGCATCTACTAAGGCTGATCTTTATTTCTGAGAATGCTAGATACCTGGCTGTCATTCTGATGCACTGCCTTCAATACTTTGAGAACAGACATGAAGATACTGATATTTCTGTGACTTTTTAATTTATTTGTACTTGTGAGTATACCTAAAAGATGCAAGAAATGTCAACAGTGCAACACAACAAAGTCAGGTTAAACTGCAGAGCTGGCACCTCAATTTTCAGCCTGGTTCTTAGCATTCAGAGGATAATAGAGATTTCAGGTAAATAATAAATAATTAAAAAAAAAAAAAACAGTTTTGTATGGAAAAAAACATACCTGTAACCTTGCGTAAGCTCCTGCATATGTTTGTTGGTCACCATACTCCTCTGATTCTTGACAATAATATAAGGCCTAGGAAAAAGGCAGAATCATTGTCAGTGCTCATATGCACTAATGTTGTGTTTCACCAGCCAGGCTATACAATGTGACAGGGGTGTGTGTAAAATCATAAGACAGACTGAGCAGAATTATAAATCCTTTCATAGGTAAGCCTTTTCACATATACACTGCTAAAAAAAATTAAAGAAACACTTTGAAAACACATCAGACCTTAATGGGGAAAAATCTCGTGCTGGATATCTATACCGATATGGATTGGGTAATGCGTTAGGAACATAAGGATGCCCCATCATTTGATGGAAATGAAAATTATCAACCTACAGAGGACTGAATTCAAAGACACCCTGGAAATCAAAGTGAAAAAATGATGCACCAGGCTAGCCAATTTTGCTGAAATTTCATTGCAGCTACTCAAAATGGTACTCAGTAGTTTGTATGGCCCCCATGTGCTTGTATGGATGCCTGACAACGTCAGGGCATGCTCCTAATGAGACAACGGATGGTATCCTGGGGTATTTCCTCCCAGATCTGGACCAGGGCATCGCTGAGCTCCTGGACAGTCTGAGGTGCAACCTGGCAGTGTTGGATAGACCGAAACATAATATCTCAGGCGAGTGTGGGGGGCCATTCAATGGCATCAATTCCTTCATCCTTCAGGAACTGCCTGCATACTCTCGCCATATGAGGCTGGGCATTGTCGTGCACCATGAGGAACCCAGGACCCACTGCACCAGCGTAGGATCTTACAATGGGTCCAAGGATTTCATCCTGATACCTAAGGGCAGTCAGGGTGCCATTGTCAAGCCTGTAGAGGTCTATGCGTCCCTCCATGGATATGCCTCTCCAGACCATCACTGACCCACCACCAAAACGGTCATGCTGAACGATGTTACAGGCAGCATAACGTTCTCCACGGCTTCTCCAGACCCTTTCACATCTATCCCATGTGCTCAGGGTGAATCTGCTCTCAACTGTGAAAAGTACAGGGCGCCAGTGGCGGACCTACCAATTCTGGAGTTCAATGGCAAATGCCAATCGAGCTCTATGGTGCCAGGCAGTGAACACGGGCTCACTAGAGGACGTTACGCTTTCAAGTCACCCTCATGAAGTCTGTTTCTGATTGTTTGGTCAGAGACATTCACACCAGTGACCTGCTGCAGGTCATTTTGTAGGGCTCTGGCAGTGTTCATCCTGTTCCTCCTTGCACAAAGGAGCCGGATACTGGTCCTGCTCATGGGTTAAGGACCTTCTACAGCACTGTTCAGCTCTTCTAGAATAACTGCCTTTCTCCTGGAATCTCCTCCATGCTCTTGAGACTGTGCTGGGAGACACCGCAAACCTTCTGGCAATGGCACGTATTGATGTGCAATCCTGGAAGACTTGAACTGCCTGTGCAACCTCTGTATGCTCCAGGTATTGCTTCATGCTACCAGTAGTGACACTGACCCAAGCCAAATGCAAAATTAGTCAAAAAAAAATTACAGTGGCCTCCACCTGTAAAACCATTTGTTTTGGGGGTCATCTCATTGTTGCCCATCTAGTGCACCTGTTGTTAATTTAATTAACACCAAAGCAGCTGAAACTGATTAACAACCCCCTCTGCTACTTAACTGACCAGGTCAATATCCCAGGAGTTTCACTGACTTAATGCTATACTCTGATTAAAAAAAATGTTCCTTTAATTTTTATGGAGCAGTGTATATGTATTTAAACTGTGCAACTAGCTATGTGCCTAATGTTTATGCTTAAAAACTGCGCCGAAAACACAAAATCCAAAAGCTCTGTATGTGTGATTAAAGTAGATTTAAATGTATTACATTTTGTTTGCTAAAACACTATCATAAACAATTAAATTTTTTTTTATATAAAAAACACAGTTTTCATCTTTTTTTCATCTCTGTGCTATTGAATCCTTCAGCCTCTTTCAAACACTTCATATCTGCATAAACTAGCCCCAGCATCAGCTGCTTATCATTGCTCCGGAGAAGGTTCCTGAAAGTGACTACAGCAGACCATGTCTGTGCAATGTGTGGCATGTGACAGGGTAAAGACACATGAACAAAATTGGGAGATGATAACAGCGCAATGTTATTCTACAACAGGAAGTACCTGAACAAGGACTTTCATGGCAGGTATTTGTATGAAAGCCGTAGATTTGAAAATACTGAAAATTACATTTGAAATTATATCAACATGTAACCGGGTTTAAATCTCCTTTAAGAATAGAACAAATAGTTTGGATAAATGTATTTAGTGTACATTACCCCAAACAGATTTAAAACTTTAGAATTTAACATATTAAATCTTGTATGCAATTTTAATGATTGGGTGTACAGTAGCACATTATAGGTAGTCTTGTGTATGAAAACAGGGAGGTAAAGTATCTATGTTACTTAAATTAATAAATGAAATCCCTGATGTCAATGGTCTGAATGGCGGTTATTGTCAAAAAAAAAAAAAGAAGACACTTTTCTCCAGTTATTGTACCTTCGACTTTTACATACAAAATTAAGCCATCAGCAGCTGTCAAGAAGTCCTATTCTCTTACATTATTGCTAATATGGTAGAGGCTTCTTTGTGTGGGAGATGAGGCCTATTCTTAGGAAACTCAAGGGACCATACTTTGTACAACAGGTAGCTAGCGGCCATTATTGAACCTCAGGCTTTCAGCCATATTGGCAGCGGAATGAGAGTCCTATCGCTCAGAACAGGAAGATAACATGGATCATTTGTGTGTTTTGGCGATCAGCCTATGCCTGCTTTCTTTGATAAATGACGTCTCTATTTTTAGCTTAATGAACCTGTCAACAATGTCACAGACTTACACTCTGAGGATTTTTGTTTTTTATTTAAAAAGAAAGAAAAAAAAAAAAAAAAAGAATTTTAAGTCCAACAATTTTGGAGCAAAATGATATTTGTAATTTTTACATATTCGGGAATTAAAGAACCTGTCACTTTTCCAATTAAGAGCAAAGGTAACAGGTCCTCTTTGTACAGTAGCCCACATCCTCAACTACTAACACTTGTACTTTCACTGCCCACTGCTGCCAGCCAGAGATTTTAAAAATACCCAGTAACTCTAAATATGGAGGAAGTGGTTACCCAACCTGTTCTCCACTATGCAGTGCCATGCCCCAGTGCTGTCAAGAAGGGACATGTCCATAACCCTATCTAAGCTCCAACACAGACCTCACACAAGGCTTTCTACACAAAGTTGTGTTATATAATGGGGCAATAAAAACTAAATCTGGCTATAAAAGGGACTGAAAGTCAGCCATTTTATCACCTGCTGAATTTTGATTAGCGTGTGGCCATTTCTGCTCGACAGAAGATGGTCCTTCCTTTGATCAGCTTCTTTTGAATGGACGTGTTGGAAAATTCTTGATCAGGGGCTGCAGCCACTGATCAGTATATTCTGGCATTGGCAGGTCCCACTGTTAGGATACAATGTCCTGGTGAAGTAGGACTCCTCCTGTCAACATTATTGTGTAGGTGGAGGAATCTTCTTTTGTTCAGCCCACTGGCTAAATTAAAACAATCAGTCAATGGTCAGCTTAAAATAAAAAAAAAAGCCAGCTACAAAAAACAGAGACAGATAGATACCTGTCCCTCGATCCCCCACTGTCCTCACACTGGCCGTGTTCACCTGGTGTCCTGTGTCCCCAGCATCTTCAGTGTGGGCACCTGGCTGAAACAGCTTGCAGCCTCACAGCCGGGTGCCCACTGTGCATGCGAGAGTAGTGTTGTGCTTTGTGAATAGCCTCGTAGTCTTCTGGAACCTGTCACGTGTCCCAGAAAACTACAGGGAGGGGATGGGGGAAAGTAACATCTGCTTCCAGGAGCGGATATCTGTCAAATTCGGGTGCCCCCTCCCCCCCAAGGTGCCGATCCTTATCGGGGTGCAGGGAATGAAGCCTTAAAATGAAACGTCCCCTTTTGGGTAGAGCTCCGTTTTAAGTATAAGCAATTGAAAAAGATGGACCATAAAGAAAACCTGTTAACTTGGCCTTTTGCTCACTGCAGGAGTTCACTCTGTGTAAGCTCCAGTGTCAAACTTTACATGGGTAAATGATGAAGCTGCGCCCTACATGACCATGTTTACACTTGGCTCAGGACCTATGTTTGGATCTGGCTCATCACATTCCCCAGATCCAAAAGCCTCCTACCTGAAGGGTGCGGACTGGTAAATAGGCAAAGTGACAGTGTATAACCATTTTTGACTGAACTTGTCACTTTCTGTTTAATAATACTTAATTGAAATTTTTTGTACTAAACATTTTAATACGAAATGTTACCTATGGATAGTATATACAGTATTTACCACTTACAGCCAGCAAATGGTAAATTCCAAGCAGAGCAGGAGCATGTGCAGGCAGTTTCTACAGCTGCTGAAATATTAGCTAAATAATATAAGGCCCCCCTACCCTCCTAAGATACACTGAAACATCTTAAACCAGCAATAAAAACCCAAAAGCAAACATTTATTATATTGCAGCTTACCAATTCTTAGATGTGAGGCTACATTAGTTTTCTTTTTTAGGACCTTTCTTTCTTCATTCTATTTTCATTTGGTAATCTGGCCAGTAAGTCTGTTTTTCAAAAGAACAAGCTCCCTTGCAGATTTATCAGTTACAGGGATGAGACAACCCATTCAACACTGACAGGAGTGCTTACAATGATCAGCTTTTATGTATATCAAAGATGTATCCCCAAAGGGAAAAACTGCTTATAAAAAAAAGTGTTACCCGCAGTTTGGCTTAAATTTGTTAGTGTATTTAAATCTGCTAGTACATGTAACACTCCCCTCCTCCCAGACTGGCAATGCTATTGTCCTAATGTTTCCCCAGTGCTCCTTCATCCAGAGTGGGGGTACTTTAACACAGGAGGTGTGTTACTGGCCAGATCACAAGGTGAAAAGAGTGAAAAAAAAAAGTGTAAAAAAAGAAAACTAATGCAGCCACCATATCTAAGGATTGTTGTATTACTTAACTACAGCTGAGAAAAATCATGTCTCCTGCTGTTGGCAGGGCTGTGTAAATCTCAAAACTGGATGAAAAAAAAAAGAAATCCTTTGGCAGGTAAAGTAGCTGCGTTAAAAATGGTTCACTGAAACTTCTTGAGCTGTTTGCCTGGAGTGCTTCTTTAAAAGAAAGAGATAATACTCCAGTTTTAAACCTGCAGCTAGCTATTAATAAAAATGTCATTACATTCTTCTTTTAATAATTACAGATCCAGATGGAAACCTTCAGACTAATGATTAGAAAACTACAGGTTACATAACATAATTCTGCAGGAAAAACATATGTGAAGGTCTACTAAACACTCAGATAACAGAGGCGTGTGGCCCATTGGAGACTCACCTCCAAGAGGAGACACACAGACAAAAGATGGCATTTGAGATTTAAAAGTCAAGAGTGCTCGGCAGAAGAAATAGAATTAGAAAGGAGCAGTGGCCTCTAGGTGTTTCCTCGCCTCTGAAGAATGCAGCGTACAGCAGCCTGTTCTTAGCACTCTTATTATCCAGAGCCTATTATTTAGACTAATTATTTCTTCCCCTCTCTTATACAAGGAAATAATGACCTGCACAGCCGGCCTCCGTCCGAGGAGATGTACACACAGCGGTCTGACAAGTTGGTGGAAATGGAAACAAACTCATTGATGTAGCCCGCTCGTCTCATCAGCCGAAACGTGTTCACCAGCTTCTGGTGGTCCCGAATGACTCCTAGGATGTTTCCTGAATGACAGCAAGAAAACACCAAGAAGAAAATTGACACACATAGGAGAGAGACTGAAATAAGCAGAGGCAGAGTTTAAAAATGAGGTGCTCACTGGAAAAAAAAAAAAAAAACTGCTAGTTACGCATTCCCTATACCCCCCCCCCCCCCCCATATCAACTAATATTTTAGACATTTGCTTTGAAAATGCTAAAATGTATTTGATCCTGTTACAAGAGAGATAGACACAGAGATGATGGAGATAGAGACAGAGATGATGGAGACAGAGACTGAGATGATAGAGATAGGTAGTGAGACTGAGATGATAGAGATAGAGACTGAGACAGAGAGTGGCGACAGAGACGACAGAGACAGAGACGACAGAGACAGATGACAGAGACGACAGAGACATGACAGAGACGACAGAGACAGAGACGACGACAGAGATGTTAGCGGTAGAGAGAGAGGAGATAGAGACAGAGATGCTAGAGACAGAGAGAGAGAGTGCACGAGAGCATGAAAGAAGGAAAGATAATAAAAGGAAAGAGAAAACCAAAAGATAATAAAAAGGAAATCAAGAAAAGAACAAAAGAAAGGAAAGAAGGAAAAAAGAAGAAAAGAAAGTAAAGGGAGCATATTTCCTACAGTATATTTACACAAGGTCTTCTAAGGACTAGGGACATGCATATTATAAATAATACAAAATATTAATCGAGACCTCAAGCTGAGCGGTTTCATTTAAGGCTCTGCACATTTACAATACCAGCTCATAATGAAGGATTTAAATTCATAAAGAAAATAATTACTTGCATGTTCCCTGTTATAATTCACTTTCACAAATCATGTTAATCAGCCTCCTCTCCTACTCCTCATCTGCAGTGATCTCTCTACACTAATGAGGAACTAGCTGGGGTTGTGCAGTGTGTGACTCACTCTCTCTACAGGGGGTATCATACACACACTGTGGATATACTGGAATTTATTAGTTTGTCCATCTATTGAAGAAGACATTAAACCTGCACATCCCATGTACAAAAAAAGTGAAGTGCATTACATTTTAGCTTTATGCCAGGTATGTCCAAGCTTTTGACTTTCCTGAGCCACATTGGAAGACGAGGAATTGTCTTGGGCCAAACATAAAATACACTAACAATAAGGACAGCAGATGAGCAGAAAAAATCAGGTAGATCACAAGTCAGGTAGATCACAAGTTCATGGATATAGATAATGTAACAATTTGAGTAATAAAACATCATGTTTGTAATATTTTTTGATTATCAAAACGGTGTCAAATATCGCACTAGTTTTGTATATAAACTAACACATCAATATCTGGTTCGATGGATGTAGTATAAGTTCTCAATTGAATTCTTAAGGTGCTCATAAGATATTTTGGTTCTAATCTTGCCCTTCGTGTGTTTCATGCTTGGTAACAGTTGCTCACAAATACAGAAGCTGCTGAAAACTGATGACATGAATAAGGTGTAATTGTGAAGAGTGGGACATTTTTCTTGGGGAAGATAAATCTTATGAAAGTCTAGTACAGAGACACTGTTAAATTTTCCTTTGGCCGCATGTGTTCGCTAAGTGTACACACATTTTGACAAAAAATTTACCCCGCATTCATAGCTGTCATGGGCCGCAGGTTGGAAACCTATACACAATACCCGTAAGCACCTCATTTCGCCTCCCTGCTAATTTAGGGCAGAGTGTCAGCTCCTCTTGATACCCCCCTCCCCACCAGCAAGGTATTCCTTGCTGCCTCCTGCTGAGGGAGACAGTGTTTCGGTCTGGTGACTAACTACACAGGCCCAAGCACTGTTACATGCTCCCTTACACAAAGAAGCCCTGCTCTGTTAGCTTTGTGCAGTATGATTAATAAACTGAACACAAACCACACCTTTAGCCATGCAAATCAAAGGAGTAACACCTACAAAGTCTTCCTGACATCATGGATGGGATTATGTAACTTGTACATGGTGGTATCACAACTTTCACACCTCCCACTCTCTTCTTGGGCAATAACATGTGACTTTCCATGGTGATTGGATTAAAGTGGTTGTAAAGGCTCAAATTTTTTTTTTTACCTTTGTGCACTCTATGCATGAAGGTAAAAAAGCCTTCTGTGTGCAGCTCCCCCTCAGGAACAAGCCTGCTTGGGTGCCCCATAGCAAACTGCTTGCTCTTAGGGGCACTTGGCAGAAAGGAGGGGCCAGGAGCAGGGGACCCACAAAGAGGAAGATCGGGCTGCTCTATGCAAAACTACTACAAAGAGCACGTAAGTAGAACATGTTTGTTATTTTTTTTTCATTTCTTTTAATATAATTTTAAGGTGTCTGTGCTATTTGTGTTGATATAAATACCAGGGTATGTTCCCGACACTCATAATTGAAGTTGTATCTTAGATAGGCTACAAAACACCCTCAACAATACAGAACAAGTCCACTTGAAAATACAAATAGCAGGCAAAACAGTTAATGTACAACATGCACTTCAACTGTTTAGCTGGTTGCCTGGAGTTTTGCTTTCAATTCTTAGAGCATTTATAGCGTTGGTTGTCAACTTGTGAGGTATAAGAGGCCCCAAATGTGCCGCCTGAAAGAACAAACTGGCCACACATAATATTTAGTCTACAGTATGTAATGCTACATAAGACTGTCAGACTGCAGACTTACTAGAGGGGACAGAGTTGCTAAAAAAGTAAGTTGCTGCAGAAGACCAGAGACATGGTAGGTATGTGAGACTGTAACAGATCACCATTCTTAGTCCCTTTACATATCAGTGCTCCTACTTCTGGGGTATGAAAAGTGCTAAAAATACAGAAATCCCCCTGCGCTCCACAGAACCTAGTGAGTGAGCTGCTATCACCTATTCTATATACCGCAAGATAAGTGAAACAAAATAATATAAGTGGTGAAGCGCTCAACTTAAATACTCAAAAACTAGTGCAATATCCCCATATATAAATATTAAATCCCTAGTGATATAATAATACACAAATGATACCTCTTAAGCTATGCAGATATACAAATAGTACTAATAAATAATAATGAATGGAAAACTAGTGCAATATCCTCATATATATAATATATATCCCTGGTGATATAGTGATAACTAATATCTCTTAAACTGTGCAAAAAAGTGATACTGAAATGCAATTGATTATATCAATTTCAAATAAAATATTAATTAAAATAGTGATGCCACACTGTGCAAAAATTATAACAAAGTGTTCAAATATTGCCACTCCATGCTGAAATAGTGCTCTTCGTGAAAATCTTGACGTGACTCCCCTCAATAGCAAAAATGCCCCCTCACCTTCCACATTCGACCCTTGCGGGTCACAGAGCTTTTTATATATATATCTCTGCCAGATGTTAATCTCCTCCACTGCCGTAGGGGTGACGTACTTCCGGTTCCGGGTGCGGACGCCATCTTTGGACTCCTGTATACACCCATAGCATATGGGAAACTGCTTCTCGGTTTTTGAGGACATGTGAGTGTAATGTTTCACTGTATCGTTTTAGTCCATTAAACAGTGTTGCACTATGGAGGTCTGCTTTTGTTTTTCCATATGATCGCTTTATGCCTGAGTCCATTGTGTGAGGGGTATTGGAGTATTACTTACTGCCTGGAGGAGGATCTTGGTCGGTGGTGGCAGTGGAGGAGAATATTTTCTGGCAGAGTTCGTTGTGTGAGGGGAGTAATTGGAGTGGTACTTACTGCCTGGAGGAGGATCATGGTTGGTGGAGGCAGTGGAGGAGATTAACATCTGGCAGAGATATATATATAAAAAGCTCTGTGACCCGCAAGGGTCGAATGTGGAAGGTGAGGGGGCATTTCTGCTATTGAGGGGAGTCACGTCAAGATTTTCACGAAGAGCACTATTTCAGCATGGAGTGGCAATATTTGAACACTTTGTTATAATTTTTGCACAGTGTGGCATCACTATTTTAATTAATATTTTATTTGAAATTTATATAATCAATTGCATTTCAGTATCACTTTTTTGCACAGTTTAAGAGATATTAGTTATCACTATATCACCAGGGATATATATTATATATATGAGGATATTGCACTAGTTTTCCATTCATTATTATTTATTAGTACTATTTGTATATCTGCATAGCTTAAGAGGTATCATTTGTGTATTATTATATCACTAGGGATTTAATATTTATATATGGGGATATTGCACTAGTTTTTGAGTATTTAAGTTGAGCGCTTCACCACTTATATTATTTTATGAAAAGTGCTGCCCTGCAAGTACCAAAGGGTCGCCGTAGGCCCAAAAACCAGGCCACCAGTATGTACGGACAAAACTTTTTCCTTAGATTTGGATGGAGTGGTAAGGAGTTCCAACCCCTCTCAGGTTTTCATTGCGGTTTGCATCCAATAAGGGAGATTCGCTCTCTGTTTTCCCTGGTGCCTACTATTACTTCATTACTTAAATGGAGGGATACCTCCAAATTTTAAACTGTCAGCAGAACACGAATAGAAGGAAGGTCTAAGGGGGAATTCATGCCTGTTGGGTGTACAGGAAAGGAAGTGAATGGAAATCTCACCAATGAGACATAGATGGCAATGTTGACAACTAAACCCTGACAGGGGCTTTACTCACTTGCCTACTGGGCACTTTTACTCCCTTCCTGCCCCGGCCAATTTTCAGCTTTCAGCTCTGTTGCGCTTTGAATGAAAATTGCATGGTCATGCAACACTACCCATAAGAAATGTTTTTAGACAAATAGAGCTTTCTTTTGGTGGTTAAATCACCACTGGGGTTTTTTGTGGTAAACAAAAAAAGACCAAAAACTTAGTTTCTGTTAAAAAGATTTGTAAAGTGATTTTTCTCCTTCACTGATGGGTGCTGATGAGGCTGCACTGATAGGCGACACTGATAGGCACTGAAAGCCAGCACAAATGGGCACTATTGGCCGCACTGATGGGGCCACACTGATCATCAGAGCACTGTGTAGATGTCCCCCTGAGAAATACCGCTTACCGGCTCTCCTGTCCTCATGCATTGTCAGTGTGAGGAGAGGACTGCCGATAACCGGCATTTCCTGTTTACATGTGATCAGCTGTAATTGGACACAGCTGGTCACATGTAAAAGGCAGCTCTAATTGGCCCCCTACTTGGACAAGTAACATCTGTGTCTGAAGAACACAGCGATCACAGATCGTGCACGGCGTGTCCATGGATGCCCTCTCAGAGCTACCTGACCGCACTGTAGCCAACTTTTCAGTCGGAAAGTGGTTAAACCCTTCCCTACTTTATCTGAAATCATAAAAAAAGTTTTAGCTTTAGATATCTATATTTAGATATATAAAAAATAAGGAGCTGGGTAAGAAAAGGCAGTCTCACTAAGGAAAAGAGCTTAAAGTAGTTGTAAAGTCTCAAGGTTTTTTTTTACCTTTATGCATTCTATGCATGAAGGTAAAATAACTTTCTGTGTGTAGCAGCCTGCCATAACACTTACCTGAGCCCCATCCCGATCCAGCGATGTCCACAAGAGCCTCGGTTCTATGGGGACTCTCACTCCTGATTGGCTGAGGCAGCAGTGGAGGCCACTGGCTCCCATTGCTGTCAATTACAACCACTGAGCCAATCAGGAAAGGGAGGAGGCAGGGCCGAGCCACGGCTCTGTGTGTGAATAGACACGCAGAGCCTCAGCTCAGGAGCACGCCTGTTCGGGTGCCCCCATAGTAAGCAGCTTGTTTTGGGGGCATCCAACAGGAGGGAGGGGACATGAGCACTGGCGGGGAAACCAAGAAGAGGAGGATCTGGGCTGCTCTGTGCAAAACCACTGCACACAGCAAGCAAGTATAAAAACAAAACTTTAGTATCACTTTAAGGTGGGATATCCATTTAAAGTGGAAACACACTTTAAATTCTAAAGCCACTCAACATTCCAGTTTGGTACACAAAATACAGAGATAAAAATGTAAAGTAAGCTAAGACACTAAGCAGACAGTCCCATAGAACCCAACAGGGATCGATTTCACAGAAGCAACCAGTGGACAGAAGGCTTCGGCCTAGGGGCATGGACATAATGGCACGCCATGACCATTGAATTCAGGTATGTATACATCTGGGATTAGGGAGATTGTTACTTTACATCAGGTAGATAGACAGCATAGATAAGAATACTTTGTGTGAAAATGTGCATTTAAAAGCTGAACAATTATTGCAAATTACCATTGAGAAAGACTATAAAGACATTAGGGTAGGCCAATTCTTCACCACACAACAGATTGACATCTTCTACGCCAAGATTTCCAGCCAACTTTATGATAGGCCCATCTTCCATATCAGTAGTGATATGAGTCATTAGTGCCAGATTTTTCACTAAACCACAAGCCTGCAGAAGAATGTAAAGGGAGTAATTGTATCTGTTTATTTGGAATAGGTGATGTTAAATCTTACCAATACTAACTTTTTTCCCTCTAAAATGTATACACGCTGGATTGCCCATACTAGACAATTAAAGGGAAGCTTAATTTGCTCCTTTTTTTTTTTTTTTTTTTATCTCCACTTACCTGTCAAATTGTCATGCAGTGTGGTCCTGGATTCAGATACTCACCTGTCCAGCATATCCATCAGTGTCTTGCTGTGATCCGATGATCCAATGCAGAGACCCTGATCCTGTGGTGCAATTTTGGTCCGCAGGCCACTGTTGGTCCATACTCCTACAGCCTCCTGGGATATGTGATGTGAAATCCCAGGAGGTTGAAGCAGCAGGGGTACATCATTCTCACCTAGGCAAGAATGGCAGTGGGTGGGCGGGAAAAGGCCTAAAGTGTTTAAAAAAAAAAAAAAGGTATTACGTGAAACCCAAAAGCACACATTTATTATATTGCAGATTACCAACTCTTGGTTGTGGTGGCTGCATTAGTTTTCTTTTATTGTTGGCCAGATCTCCAGGTGAAAAAAGCCTTAAATAAGAAAACTAATGCAGCCATCACAACTAAGAATTGGTAAGCTGCAATATAATAAATGTTTGCTTTTGGATTTATTATTACTTTCATTTTTGCCATCTATCCTTGAGCTTTGCCGTGAATCCTGTAATGAGCCTGGAAATGCTTAGCAGCACACATCACCAAAGGCTTTTTAAGTACTTTTGTTAAAAATGAGTGCTAAAATGTATCACTAGAAAAAAAAAAAAAAAAAAAAAAGTATGGTGGTATCTACAATTCTCATCTCTTTATTCACAATATTAGATTCAGGGCCACCAATATACTTGTATAGTCCTGGGCAGGGGAAATCGGATCATGGGCAGGGTGGGTGATCAGTGCAGCAGGGGGGCAATGACTGAAACTGATCCCTCTGTGTGGCGCTCTTTGCAGCAGATGAAAGCTGGCTTCTCCTCTTCTCCCTCCCGCCAGCTTTCAGCTGCTGCAGAGAGAGTCACAATGGAGGGATGGGTTCCAGTAATTGCCCCCCTGCCATACTGATCTCCCTCCTTACCCATGATCTTATTCTTCATGTTGCCCAGGCCCCCTGTGTGCCCCTTTACACTGCAGTGCTGGTAGCTTCACTCCTTTCCCTCCCACTTGCTTGCTGCAGGCACACAGGGGGATAGTTTCAGAATAGAGAGGGGAGGGGGGAGGGGGGCAGGGGGGGGGTGGTGGCGGAAGGGGCATAGTAAACTGTGTTGGCCCCTGCTATCATTGAAAAACAGTGACAATGGAGCAAGGCCAAGTCCTGCTGTCTGTGTCTATAGACGCAGGCAAAGGGGTTTGGGAGCAAGCCAGCATGAGTGTTCCCCATAGGATCAGTTTCCTCTGGGGGCACTCACTGGAGAGGAGGAGCCAGAAGAGCAGACAGGGAACCTAGAAAAAGGAAGGTTGGGGACACTCTGTGCAATTCCATTACACAGAGCAAGTAAGTATAAACCTGTTTGCAAATGCAAATAAAAAAAAAAAAAATACCAATCACTTTAAGGCAGACAATACATTTTTTTTTATTGTTTAACCCAAAGGCTGAACAAATAAAATGATTTGATTCCTCCTTCCACACATTAGATGTGTAAGGGGAAATCCTCCCACTGTGCTATTGTGTTCTGATGACAGGAAGTCTTCCCCACAGTCAGAATACAATGATCAGTGCTGCCAGCTATATCGATCGAGAAAAAACTGACAGGATGGTTGTACAGAAGCTTACCGGCTAATTGGCTGCTGTACAACTAGGGTGCCCATACATGGATCGAAATTTGGCTGGTCCCTGCTGAACGGGCTGAATTTTGATCCATGTACAGGATGCTTAAGTTTGGTTGCCTTGTCAAAAGGTTAAAAACAACCTCACATCCTTGTTTATCATATATAGTGAATACTAGTAGTGAAACTCGCCTCTCCTTCAGGAGTATCCGAAGGACACAACATCCCCCACTGAGATGGCTGCAGGGATCGTGGGCCGCTGACTTTTCTCGTTTTCTCAAACTGAGAAGAGATTCGCGTCATCATCCCTAGAGCTGAAATATAAGACAACCGAGACAACACTTGTGTAACACCTTGACGGTCCATTTTAAATCTTTTCAGTGACCAATTCCCCTGCAAACAAGAAAAAAAAAAGTTTTAACTCCATTAAAAGGGAAATAATAGTACACTGCTAACAAAAATTAAAGGAATGCTTTTTAATCAGAGTATATCATCTAGTCAATTAAACTCCTGGGATTTTGATCTGGTCAGTTAAGTAGCAGAGAGGGTTGTTAATCAGTTTCAGCTGCTTTGGTGTTAATGAAATTAACAGGTGAACTAGATGGGCAAAAATGAGACAACCCCCAAAACAGGAGTTATTTTACAGGTGGAGGCCACTGACATTTTTTCCCTACTCAGCTTTTCACTAGTTTTGCATTTGGCTAGGGTCACTGTCACTACTGGTAACATGAGGCAATACCTGGACCCTACAGAGGTTGCACAGGCAGTCCAAATCGTCCAAGATTGCATGTCAATATGAGTCATTGCCAGAAGGTTTGCGGTGTCTCCCAGCACAGTCTCAAGAGCATTGAGGGGATTCCAGGAGAAAGGCAGTTACTCTAGGAGACCTGGACAGGGCCATAGAATGTCCTTAACCCATTGACAGGACCAGTATCTGCTCCTTTGTGCAAGGAGAAATAGGATCAGCACTGCCAGAGCCCTACAAATGACCTCCAGCAGGCCACTTTTGTGAATGTCTCTGACCAAACAATCAGACAGACTTCATGAGGGTGGCCTGAGGGCCCGACATTGTCTAGTGGGCCCTGTGCTCACTGCCCAGCACCATAGAGCTCGATTGGCATTTGCCATTGAGCACCAGAATTGGCAGGTCCACCACTGGCACAATGTGCTTATCACAGATGAGAGCAGGTTCACCCTGAGCACATGCGACAGACATGAAAGGGTCTAGAGAAGCCATGGAAAACGTTATGCTACCTGTAACATCGTTCAGCATGACCGTTTTGGTGGTGGGTCAGTGATGGTCTGGGGAGGCATATCCATGGAGGGACACACAGACCTCTACAGGCTAGACAATGGCACCATGACTGCCATTAGGTATTGGGATGAAATCCTTGGACCCATTGTCAGACCCTACGCTGGTGCAGTGGGTCCTGGGTTCCTACTGGTGAATGACAATGCCCGGCCTCATGTGGCGAGAGTATGCATGCAGTTCCTGGAGGATAAAGGAATTGATACCATTGAATGTCCCCATGCTTGCCTGACATAAATCCAATAGAACACTTCTGGGATATCATGTTTCTGAAACGCTTCTTTGCTCCCCAGACTGTCCAGGAGCTCAATGATGCCCTGGTCCAGATAATACCCCAGGACACATCCATCGTCTCATTAGCAGCATGCCCCGACGTTGTCAGGCATGCATACAAGCATGTGTGGGCCATACATTACCACCGAGTGCCATTTTGCGTTGCTGCAATGAAATTTCAGCAAATTGGACTAGCCTACTGCATCATTTTTTTCACTTAGATTTTCAGGGTTTCTTTGAATTCAATCTTCCATAGGTTGATCATTTTCCTTTCCATCAAATAATGGGGCATCCTTACGTCCCAAAATCATTTCATAGTCCATGTCAGTACAGATCTGATGTGTTTTCAAAGTGTTCATTTAATTTTTTTGAGCAGTGTAGTTTTTGGTCAGTTTTCTAACAAAGGTTAATAAACTGATGAATTATGTAAAAAGGTTTAAAAAAAGAGTGTTACAGGGTGCAACCATGACACAAATATGTCTGATGAATAACCATTGGCTGCACAGAGAGGAGTTATCAAGCATAAGGCTTATTGCACATGGGAGTAAAAAATGCTTAGTATTTTACTGATCTGAAATGATAAGCATTGTTGTCTATGGGACATTGCGCACAACAGAGTAAAGATCAGTAATACAGCATTAAGTATAGAGCAGTAAAACAAAAATAGAATGTTTTTCATTTATGTGCAGTAATTTACTTGTGTGTTTACTCGTTTAGGCCTCTTGCACAGGAGAGTTCTAATTTACGGATGTTTACTCAGGAACTTGTGACGCCAAGGATATCAGGCACTCCTCTCTGCTGGAATACTTTAAAAGGAATTAAAATGATTTAAAAAAAAAAAAGTTGTACAGGTAAACACAGCCCTTACCGTAGATATAGCATTCACCATGCCATTGGTGATCTGGTCTTGCCGCATATGTTTTACAACATCAAACTGGGCTGCTCTTTGTTTTGGAATTACTTGATCTGCAATCTTTTTCATTTCAGAGTTAAATTTTTTGAACAAGTCTTCAAACAAGAGGGAGAGCAGCTAAAAAAAAAAATATATATTATGCTTAGTGGGACCCAGATTAAACTAAAAACAGATAAAGACATCCAGACAGGTATGTTAAAAGTTATGCTATCAATGCCTTAGAATGTATAAAATCTCCACACTGAGCTGCATCAGGCAAGGTTATAATAGATTTTTAGTGGGTCTGCCCTACATGGTAGCAGCAGAAAGAAGCAGTGCGGTGGGTATATGGGGGGCAGAGAACTAAAAGGAGGCTCCACTATTTCTGTAATGTTCACCGGGATTTCAAAGACAAGACAAGAAGTGGTATAAATACTGTAAATGGAGAGCTCAACATGCCCCTATACACTAAATGTGTTTCAACATATTCAATTTTTCATTTGATGCCGCCTTTATTACAATACATCTCAGTTATATTTCATGGCTTCTAATAATCCACATCATCATTTTAAACAAAAATGGAACAGCTTTTAAATAGTAAACATTTATAGAACAGACGTTTAAGAGTGCATCAAGATACGACAACGGTTAAGAAACCCACAATCAATGGATTAAAATAGATCTATAATTACATTTTCACTGTTTGGTCCCTAGAGGGAAAATATGACAGGTCACATCTCAGCTACTCAAATCTTACATGTATGTTACAAGAACTATAATTATATTTTCACTGTTTGGTCCCTAGAGGGAAAACTTACATGTAGTACTTTTTACCATGTTACTAGGTGCTTACTAACCCTAGCTGTGAGCTCAGACTGGGTGGCCCTCCTCAGCTGTCTGACAGCACAGCTGGAAAGGAGGTGGTCGCTTTATAACACCTGCTTGTCTTGGCTTCAAGCACTCCTCTGAGACAAGCAACGGCAAAAGGAACACAGAGGGAGAAGGGGCGTCTTTAGATACCTGTCCCTCTGCATTCCACTTGCCGCAACTGGTCTTGGGAAAGTGCTTGGAGCAGAATCAACCATGAAACAGAAGATTATGCAATTTTCTCTCTTTCCACCATGAGTGGAAGAAAAGAAATTAGCTGGAATCCCTCATCAACACAGTCAGTGTTGATGGGGAAATCCCTTCCACAGTGCTATTGTGTTCTTCCAGCAGAGACCCTTTCTGGCCAGCAGAAAACAATGATCACTGCTAGTGGCTATAGCCAGCAGTAATTACATTTTAAATATCCGACAGGTTGGTTGTACCAAAGTCGATCGATGCATTAATTTGAATACAAACCAGCCTGCCTATAGATGGATTAAAAGTCAACCGATCTCTGCTGAACCGGCCGAGATTCGATCCATTTATGGCCAGGTTAAAGGAATTCTAAAGGTTGTATTTTTTTAACAAACATGTTATACTTACTTGCTCTGTTGAATGATTTTGCTCAGAGCAGCCCCGATCCCTTTCTTTTTGGGTCCCCCGCCAGCGGTCCTGGATGTCCTCCTCCCTGCCGTGTGCCCCCAGTGGCAAGTCTCTTGCTATGGGGCACTTGAGCAGGCTGGGCCCCACAACCACTCTTTCCTCATTGGCTGTAACTGACAGCCAAAGGCTACTGCTGCCGTGTGAGTCAATGAGGAGTGAGAGACCCGGGAGAGTGGTTTCTCTCATGCACATCACTGGATAGAGAGAGGGTTCAGATAAGGATAAAAGGGGGCCAAGGTTTGTGGGGGGGGGGAAACAACACCCAGAAGGTTTTTTAACTTCATGCACAGAATGCATGAAGGTAGAAAATCTGCCTTTAGAACCACTTTAAATATGTTATTAGATGGTTGCAGGGGGAGGGGCAGGGCACCCAGTCTGACCTTATACAGTAGCTATTCTTAGAAAGCACTTTGCAACAATGAACATAGTACTACGTGTATTTTGTTCCACAGGGGACTGAACAATGGAAAAACATTGTAATGAGTTATTCTTCTATGTTCTATGTCCTCAAACTTTTTAAACAGGGGGCCAGTTCACTGTCCCTCAAACCGTTGGAGGGCCGGACTATAGTTAAAAAAAAAAAAAAAAAAAAGAAAAACTATGAACAAATGCGGACACAGTACAGGAGATGACCAGAGACTGCGGACATAGTACAGGAGATGACCAGAGACTGCGGACACAGTACAGGAGATGACCAAAGACTGCGGACATACTACAGGAGATGACCAGAGACTGCGGACATACTACAGGAGATGACCAGAGACTGCGGACATACTACAGGAGATGACCAGAGACTGCGGGCATACTACAGGAGATGACCAGAGACTGCGGGCACACTACAGGGGATGACCAGAGTCTGCGGACACAGTACAGCGGATGACCAGAGTCTACGGACACAGTACAGGGGATGACCAGAGACTGCGGACATAGTACATGAGATGACCAGAGACTGCAGACATACTACAGGAGATGACCAGAGACTGCAGACATACTACAGGAGATGACCAGAGACTGCGGGCACACTACAGGAGATGACCAGAGACTGCAGACACACTACAGCAGATGACCAGAGACTGCGGACACACTACAGCAGATGACCAGAGACTGCGGACACACTACAGGAGATGACCAGAGACTGCAGACATAGTACATGAGATGACCAGAGACTGCAGACATACTACAGGAGATGACCAGAGACTGCAGACACAGTACAGGAGATGACCAGAGACTGCAGACACAGTACAGGAGATGGCCAGAGACTGCAGACACAGTACAGGAGATGACCAGAGACTGCGGACACAGTACATGAGATGACCAGAGACTGCGGACACAGTACAGGAGATGACCAGAGACTGCGGACACAGTACAGGAGATGACCAGAGACTGCGGACAGTACAACTGCGGACATACAACGGCGGGGAATACTGGGTCGGCTGCTCCATAAGATGCACAGACATTTCCCCCCAAGTGTGTCTTATGGAGCGAAATAGTGCCCCATCATTGGTGTCAGTGGGGGGAATAGTGCCCCGTCATTGGGGGGGAATAGTGCCCCGTCATTGGTGTCAGTGGGGGGGAATAGTGCCCCGTCATTGGTGCCAGTGGGGGGGAATAGTGCCCCGTCATTGGTGCCAGTGGGGGGGAATAGTGCCCCGTCATTGGTGCCAGTGGGGGGGAATAGTGCCCCGTCATTGGTGTCAGTGGGGGGGAATAGTGCCCCGTCATTGGTGTCAGTTGGGGGGGAATAGTGCCCCGTCATTGGTGTCAGTGGGGGGGAATAGTGCCCCGTCATTGGTGTCAGTGGGGAAAGGAATAGTGTTCCATCGTTGGTGTCAGTTGGGGGGGGAATAGTGTTCAGTGGGGGGAATAGTGCCCCGTCATTGGTGTCAGTGGGGGGGAATAGTGCCCCGTCATTGGTGTCAGTGGGGGAAGGAATAGTGTTCCGTCGGTGTCAGTGGGGGAAGGAATAGTGCCCCGTCGGTGTCAGTGGGGGAAGGAATAGTGCCCCGTCGGTGTCAGTGGGGGGAGGAATAGTGCCCCGTCGGTGTCAGTGGGGGGAGGAATAGTGCCCCGTCGGTGTCAGTGGGGGGAGGAATAGTGCCCCATCATTGGTGTCAGTGGGGAGGAATAGTGCCCCATCATTGGTGTCAGTGGGGGGAGGAATAGTGCCCCATCATTGGTGTCAGTGGGGGGAGGAATAGTGCCCCATCATTGGTGTCAGTGGGGGGAGGAATAGTGCCCCATCATTAGTATCAGTGACACCAATGATGGGGCACTATTCCTCCCACTGACACCAATGACACTTAACTTGCTGACCCCTGTTCCAGCATACCTGGTTGCAGCAGCACCATCTGCACGGCACACTTACCTGTCAGCTGTCCTTCTTCACTCCGGCCTCTCCCTCACTCGATGTTTGCGGGGTCGTTCGGCTCCGCCTCCTCATAGGTGATTGGCCGCCTGTGTGCCTTTCCTGGGCTACAGTTCTGGCGCCCAATCACCGGTGAGGAGGCGGAGCTGAACATTGAGTAAGTGAGTGGCCGGAGTGAATGAAGGAGCAGTGCTTCCTGGACTGGATCATCATGGGACTGGGACATGGAGCCAGGTAAGATACAGCTGCCCCCTAAGCGCCCCTGTACTTAGTGTCCCTTCCTCGCGGCAAATATGCCCCTGCCGGCAGGCTGGATAAATGTCCTCGGCGGGCCGCATGTGGCCCGCGAGCCGCAGTTTGAGGACCCCTGTTCTATGTTCTCCACAAAACATTTATTGAACAGCTTTTAAAACAAAAAGGGAACAGCTTTTTATTTCCCTAAATATGCAACTTATTTGCAAATTTAAAATTAGGTTTCTAAAGCTGGGAGGGCTGCTAATATACAAATTAGATGATCTCTAAAACTAAACCCCCAGGAAAGAAAAAAAAAAAAAAAAAATCAAATGGTATCAATCCAGCATCAAGTTGATTGGTAGTCAGTAAGTAGTAAGAATGGTGTGACCGACAGCCCCTTCCATTATTAACAGCTAAATGTGGAAGAGAGGGTATGTTGGATCCTTCACATGGGAACAACTGGAAGAGGCATTGGGGGTTTACATGGTCTGTTTAGAAACAAATATAATTTAGCAGAGTTCTTATTTTCTTAACATGGATGGCATAGACTGCACGTTTATAATTTTATATAAAAGAGAGGGATTAGAACACTTAGAGAGGGTGAATCTCTCTAACGGTGGGCACAGACCTCTGTGTCCTAGTTACCATAACCACTGAGAGTGAAAGAAAATCCCACATTTTGTGTTGTCACCAGAACAGGACTAGAGGGGAAATCTTACAATGGGGACGTTAGTTCTGCTGACCCTGGTTACATGCAGAGATTCCCCCACTTTGCATGGATTTCCATTTACTTCCTGCAGTGGCTATGGGACAGCATTTGAAGGGAAAATCTCTGTAAAGAGAAACAGATGGCTAAAAAAAACCTGACAGAAATTAGAACTTTCCTTTAACCTATCCAAATGAAAAATAAAACAAAACAGAACTGAAAATTGTATCATACTTACCATAATTTTCCTTTCCAGACGCCAATCTATGGCAGCACATGTGATATAACTCCGCCCCTATATCC